ATCAAAATTTCTATTTTTGTGCTGTTTGATTGATATTTTTTTTCCATGGAAAACAATTTCCTACTTTTGGTCACATGATTATATTTTTCTCAAAATCAAGGAAAATATTTTCTTTAAGGGGAGTAAAATTTTTTTTTTTCAGGGAATTCACTCACTCTCTCTCTCTCTCTCTCTCTCTCTCTCATCTATCTCCTTCCTTTCATCTACCTACTAATAAAAAATTGACCAGTATAATATTTTCTAGGTTGAAAATTAAATCTATCAAATAAATTTAATTAATAATTTCCATACAAATTCTAAGTAATTGAATTACCTAGAAATTATTTTCTTTTTATACAAATTTCATACTCGCAATTAAACGCACCCTAAATGTATCACATAATTTCATAAAGACTTTATGCTAGATAGTAGATACCATTATTCTATTTGCCTTCTTTTTCCTTTCTTATCAGGTCATTTGTGTGTTAGTGTCATGACTTCCAGATGGGAAACTGACAGTTCAATTGATTTAGTTGGATGAAGCTGATTACTCAAAACGTATGAAATATGACTTGACAATTATTAAAAGGTAAATGTGTGACACTCAAAAACTAAAAATAGAAGAAATTGGTGTAATTCTTCAAACGCGATCACAGTTATTAAGGGTGACATTACACTAGAAGCTAACGTGCAAAATACAACATGAAAAATAACAAAATCGTTACGAACTATACATTCCTACGGCCAAAACAGAAAAGGAGATAACCCATATACATGCGATAATACAGATCAATCTTGTCTTGCTTCATGTTATTCGGTTAGCCAAGAAAATAGCTATAAGCAAAGGCGGATCCGCTGCTCTTCCCTATCATCCCGAGTTCCTGCTGAATCCCTGTCTGCAAAACATCTTTTATATGGAACAAAACCCTTCTTACAATTTACAGAGTTCAGTCTAGCTTTCATACTGAATTTGGAAGAGGATGCAGGTTTTTCACCTTCTCTTCCACGTGAGAGATGATTGCTCTGAGCCTCAACTTCTGTGCTTCTTCGTTCGTCAACTGATGCACCAACAATGTCTGTGTTTGAACCAGTCGAAGATCCTTCTTTCTGATCATCTTTATCGACTTTTTCTTTCTTACCATATGATGTACGTCCCCTGATTGGAATAGGATTATGCACCTGCAAAGGTTGATTCGATGCACCCGCACAAAGTGTCAACCAAGGGAAAGGAACCCGACAAGCATTCATATTGTTCGATTTCTCATTCTTGAAACAGAGCCATGTACACTCAGAATCACTCGGAGAAGAGGGAGTGAAAGTGCAGGGCAATGTCTGTATATATGTTCCATCACTTCTATCTAATGACTGCGGTTTGCCCGTGCTTAGAGTAGGATACGATGGTCCATGAGAGTCGGTGACTAATAATGTCTTTCCAAAAAGCTTCAAATACTGCGTGGAAGATTCATTTAAATCTTCTTCGGCAATAGCGTTGTTTTGAGACAACACCTCCAGTTTCTGTACAGTAGAACAAATATGTTAACTAATTATTTCAGATGTATATGCAAGATTCAAAATAAAAATGAGCAAGTACCATAGGAGCTTCCACATCTGGACTCGAATGAGCATCATTTTGGCCAGGTGACCAAGATCTTGTCTCTATAGTACCTTCATTGACAGCAACAGCAGATGAAATAGGCGACGAGCTGCCATCAAGGGTACCAGAATCTGTTTGGCCCAAAACATCTGAACCAATTGTAGACAGTACAGATGTAGGAGATAGATCCTCTTGCTCCAGAACTGAGAGATTGGAAAATGTAGACCTTGTTGAGATTCCAGTTTTGACTGGAGAAACCATCTTACGAGGATAAGGATGCACCGGCTTTCTTTTGGGCCTAGGAGGAGGAATTTCAATCGGTTTCACAGAGACGGAAATTCCAGTGTCTGATTCACGAGCAACCTACACACCATATCGACGTGTAAATCTCAACCTGACATCAACCCTAAAGATGTTTGCACGCCTTGGTGTCATTAAAAATAAGACTTACTCAAAAAGGCGGCAATAGATATAATGCTAGAGAATGGACTGATATAAGAGCGTAAAAACCTTGGAGAAAAACTTTTGTGCGTGGCTTCTAATTTGCACTGCAGTTTTTGTGCCCACGTGCTCTGAAGAAGATAAGAATCTATTTAAAATACATCGAGGATAATAAAATAAATTCAAGGTAGCATCAATGCCAAAAAAATAATTACCTTCTATATTTCTCCATGCTCGGCCATATAGTTTCAATGCCTCGAGAAACTTTTTATGCTCTTCTTCTGACCATCTTTCTCTTTGTTTCGTAATTGTGTAAGGTTTCCTAACCTATTCATAGAACGATATAATGATGGAGGACAATTGGACAAATGCATGATAGTTGGATATTGAAACTAATAGCATTTTTGGCAAAGCTTAACATTTTCTTTAAGTTGGTCAAACATACTTTTTATCCACACATTTAGGACCCACAACTTACTAATTACTATTGTTCACGAATTACATTGGACCCACAACTTATAAGCACTTAAAACTTTGCCAAACATACACTAAAGCTCCCCATAATTTCACCAAATGAGGAAATATAAAGTTATATACCTTTGGAGCAAAGTCATCCGAAGGCAGAACAGTTTCTAACCCATTCCCTCCACTTTGATCCTGCAGTCGAAAATCCAAATAAGGTCTAGAAGAAACCTCCCCAGAAGGCATTGTTTAAAAGTTAATGGCTCGGGAGTCGGGATCTTAATACATGTCAATGACTCCAAGATGCTCTCAAGATTAATCTTCTTAGTCACACTTTGTCAATCGAGATATGCAAGCAAGCCCAAGAAACAAACTTCTTTGTCTATCACACACACAGAGTTCCCAAAGTCACAAAATGATTTGAGGATTGTATATTTTCAATCCGAGATTATGCAAATGGCCATCATCTACCATAATTATGTTCAAGTCGAAACAAAACACTTAACCAAAAGCAATTTTCATATATTTCTTTAGTGAACTATTGCTAAATTTGCATATATTTCTTAATACTAATAATCATGAGGTAGTTAACCATATCTAACAATCAGCTTTAAACTTGAAGATCGGTAGCTTAATCATTTAAAATAAGCAATTTCTCATAATTAACTAAACTGAGATCATTAGATTTTTCACATAACCAAGGCATAAAATTCTGAATCTAGATATGCAATCCATAAACAGATCCAATTTATAAATACCCAAATTCACTATTCATCACAAGAAATCAATCGGTTCCAATAAAATTAATAAAAAAAATTGAAAAATAGCTCACCTGGAAAACCATAGTTGCAGAAGCCATCAATTCGTCCTTAAATCTTATTAGCAGGAAGAATTTTTCTTCAAAGTCACAGCAGGAAAATAATACAATATAAATAAATTACAGAACCTCTTCAGCCCCCCATGAAAATAATCAAAATTAAGCAAACTCAAAATTTAGCAGCCACTGAAAATGAAAAATGAAGAAAAAGGTATTGTTGAGAGTGAAAAGATGAGCAGAAAACACCTCAGAAGTTTGATCTTTATCGGAAACTAATGATTGAAAAACAAAGAAAAAGAGAGAAAGTGACTAAAATTCAAAAGAACAAATTCCTTAAAAAAAAAAAACAGGAAAACAATGAGAGGACAGATTTCATTCAGATAAGAGTAAAATGAAAACAAATCCTTCACAGAGGGGGAAAATGAGAAGGAAAAAGTAGTAGCATAGGGGTGCCACGTCATAGGTAAAATTAATTATTCTTAATTTTTTATTAATAGAAAGGTCGAGAAATACAAGGAATCGTGTGGTTCAGATCCAAAGTGAAATACATGGACACGTGGCGTAATTGCGTTAGCCAACGGACAGTAAGGACCACCACTTTTTCTTTTCTTTTGTGAACTTACATCCGCGTGTATGGAATGAGGCACATATCTTTCCAATGAATGATATACACGTGTCAGGATTTTTAGTTGTGAATTATTTTTCAAGGGTATATTTGGCACTTGTGGCTGTGCACTTTTCTCCGTTTTTTTTTTCCCTACTTAACAATATCTTTTATTAAGCCCACGTTTAACGCACATTTTTAAGAAAAGAATACATTTTAAATAGTAAAATGATGAAAAATATGTGGTTAAAAAAGAAGAAAAATTTTGAATTTATGTGTAATATAAAAAAAAAGATGAGCCGCATCCTTGACGGCCCCCACCTACCCTGCGTTGGGCCTTAGTGAAAAAAGTAAATCGCTGGTTATGCTTCCAAAAGTACATGGTGGAAGGCTACTTGTGTATTTACACTTTCTTAATGGCCAAATCAATATTTCAGGATTCGAATTTGTGTGTAATATTATTTTATTGAAAATTAGTACTGAAAGAATACATTTTTTTAAGAATGTGGATCAAACATGGCCTAAGGCTATTTTGTTTCGATCAAAATCAAATTTTTAGTACGTTTTAATAATTTATGTATGGTCCCTATTTCTTAAAATTTATTTTTTCTCAAATTTATTTTTAATCATACTTTTCATGGTTCCACGTCAACTTTTTGAAGATACATTTTATCAACATTTACAAAAAATTATTAAAAATCTAAGTTTAATTTAAATCAAACACGGGTCAATCTTCATGAACTTGAGAGGTGAAGATCCAGTTAATCAACACAATTAAGATCAACGAACACGACAAATGAATCTATTCATTGATCACTTTATTCTCGAAACAAGGAACAAAATGTTGACATCTTTTAATAGTTGCAATAAATTACATCTTCTGTGATAGAATTTTCAACCAAATTTCAATTAGATCGCTAAACTTTAATTTATCACAATTGGATCATTGAGTTTCAATTTAGTTTAAAGTTTATTAGTCTATCACATTCGTGTCACTCATTGTCTCAAAACTAACATAAATGATACCATAACTTGTCTTCTACTTAATGTTACGTGACGCCCTAAAAACAAGAATGATAAAACGACGACTATAACAATGATTTTAGATTAAGGCCTTGTTTGGGAGAGATTGGATTTTTCTACAGTAAATCAATTCTCATTTTCAACCACAAATTTTTCAATAAAATAATATTTTCCATCACATTAATAATTTTTTATTCTTTTTCAACCACACATTTCCCATCATACACTATTCAAAATCAATTCTTCTTCAAAAAATCTCTCCCAAACAAGCTCTTAATGTTTTAACAAGATTTGAATGAGTTTTTGAAGAAGAATCAAGATTTTCGAGTGTTGAAGCTAAAAACCTAAAGGTTGGAAATTTCTTGATAAAAATGGAAAATGTTGACATCTTTTAATAGTTGAAATAAATTACATCTTCTATGATAGAATTTTCAACGAAATTTCAATTAGATCGCTAAACTTTAATTTATCACAATTGGATCATTGAGTTTCCATTTATTAGTATATCACATTTTGTCACTCACGTCTCAAAACTAACGTAAATGATATCATATGGCAATTCTTGTACCCTGACCTATTGAGGTACATCCCGCGATTTACCTCATCCACAATACTCTAGGAAAAGGACGGTGGGGAACCCTCAAGGTTGGGGTTCAGCCTTTTTTTTTTTTTTTTAACATAAATGATACCATAACTTGTCTTCTACTTAATGTTACATGACGCCCTACAAACAAGAATGATAAAACGAGTGTTATAACAATGATTTTAGATTAAAGTCAAAAGGACGTATTTTAAGCTATGGTGTAGCAGTAAATCAATATATAAGTAGCGATTTTGTAGAATATCCATTGTGGTATGACTGCTGATTAAAATCTTTTGGAGACGGTAGGCAACGGAGCAGTGGGAATCAAAATTACGTTAAAAGTTCAGTTGCAAAATTGTTACAAATTAAAGTTCAGAGATCTAACTGAAATGTCTCTGAAAGTTTAGTGACCTTACTTACTATAAACATATATAACAATGAACTGGGTGCAGGTGGCATGAAATCGACAAGTACTATTTTGAAAAGGGACGTTTACCAGAAAATTACAAAGGAAAAAGTGCACACAAATATCCACGCGCTTTTACTTTGATATTTTCAAAGAAGAAATATCTACACAATTTTTTATTTATTTATTTTTTTTTAATAAAAGAGAGAATAAATAAAGAAAATTATTGGTAAAAAGTATATTAATAATTATTTCCATTGTAAAATTAGAATTTTTTTATGTGATATTACAATTACACAAATATATAAAATGAATATTATATTTTAAATTCTTGATTCGATCTAAGTTTTAAAAAAAAAAAGACAAAAATCTAAATATGCGCGTCACGCGTGACCCATAGATGATAAATAATTTTTATTTTATTTTTTAAATATTAAAGTGCGTAAAGAATTATTTTACAGAAATATAAATAATTATATTTTGATAAGGAAAGGAGATGAGGATTAGATACCGACGTGTCAATTATTTTATTCAATTGGCGGTGGCCTTTTACTTTTTGCACTTTTCAGCCACATCATAATTTCTTGCCGTCCACTATTCAATAAGGACTAATGCAGCTGTTAATGGATGATTCTGGTCCACATATTTTTCATAGTGGAATAAATGAATTAATGGGAAAAATAGTTTGTGGATAAGGGCGGATATATCTAAGTCAGGCATACATCGCCAGGTGTATT